GTACAACTATGATGGGTCCTCTTAACATGTTTTAAGTTTGAAAGCCCTAACCCAAGTAATATGTCAGGAGATTTCCGCGTGGCTTGGTCATTTTTTTGCAACTCGATTTGTTCCTTCTCTATATAAATTTCGGAAAAAAACATCATTTTCAGGAACCTATAGTTCAAAAATCAATAGACTAAATGCGTTGCAAATTTGATTTTGTACAACTATAGAGGGCGTTCTTAACATATTTTAAAATTTTTAAGTTTTAATTTTAAAGCCCTATCCCAAGTAATATGTCCAGGAGATTTCCGCGTGGCTTGGTCATTTTTTGGCACTGCAATTTGATCTTTCTCTATATAAATTTCGGAAAAAAAATCTTTAAAAAAACATCATTTTGACGAGCCTAACGTTTAAAAAATAATTTGACCAATTTCGTTACGAATTTGATTTTGTACAACTATGGAGGGTCCTCTTAACATGTTAATACCCCCGCACAACAAATTTGTAAGGGGGGTTTACTGGAATCAGCTTGTCCGTCCGGCTGTCCGGCCGTCTGGCCGTCCGGCCGTCCGTCGGTTTTTTCTTGTTCGCCCATTATCTAAAGATTCCTTTGACCCACAGTCTTCATATTTGGCATGAGGTTAGTCATGACGAGAAGATGACCCCTATTGATTTTGAGGTCACCAGGTCAAAGGTCAAGGTCACAGGGGCCTTGACTTTAAAAAGCTTGTCCGCCCAATAACTTAAGATTCCTTTGACCCACAGTCTTCATACTTGGCATGCAGAATTAGTTATGACAAGTAAGATGACCCCTATTGATTTTTGAGGTCACCAAGGTGAAAGGTCAAGGTCACAGTGGACTTGACTTCAAAATGCTTGTCCGCCCAATAACGTAAGATTCCTTTGAACCACACAGTCTTTTAAAATTTGGCATGCAGATTAGTCCCGACAAGTAAGAATGACCCTACTGATTTTGAGGTCACGATGGGCGTAGTGTCCACGGGCCAGGTCAAAAGTCAAGGTCACAGCCTCCTTGAATTTAAAAAGCTTGTCCGGTCCCAAATTTAAGATTCCTTTGACCCACACTCTTCCTTATTGGCATACATTTAGTCATGACAAGTAGATGCACCCTTAATTGATTTTGAGGTCACCACAGGTCAAAGGTCAAGGTCACAGTGGCCTTGACTTTAAAAAGTTGTCCTCCCAATAACTTATTAAGGATTCCTTTGAACCCCACAAATACTTTTTATTTGGCATGCAGGTTAGTCATGCGAGTAATGACCTCTTTGATTTGAGGTCACCAGGTCAATGTTCAAAAGGTCAACAGCCGCCTTGATATTCAAAAAGCTTGTCCGTCCAATAACTTAAAGATACCTTTGGATCAAGTCCTTCATATTTAGCAATGCAGGTTAGTCATGACAAGTAGATGACCCTATTGATTTTGGAGGTCACCAGGTTCAAAGGTCCAGTTCACAAGGGGCCTTGACCTCAAAAAGCTTGTCCACATAACTTAAGATTTTTTTGACCCAACAGTCCTTCATATTTGGTATGGAGGTTTAAGGCATGGAGATAGATGACTCTTATTGATTTTTGAGGTCACCAGGTTTAAAGGTCAAGGTCACAGGGGCCTTGACGTAAGAAAGTTTGTCCGCCCAATAACTTAAGATTCCTTTGAACCCACAGTCTCATATTTTTGCATGAGGTTAGTCAAATACAAGTAGATGACCCCTATTGATTTTGAGGTCCACCAGGTCAAAGGTCAAGGTCACAGGGGCCTTGAACTATCAAAAAAGTTTGTCCGCCCAATAACTTAAGATTCCTTTGACCCACAGTCTTCATAATTTGGCAAGGAGGTAGTCATGATTAGAAAATAATCCTTATTGATTTTTGAGGTCACCAGGTCAAAGTCAAGGTCAACAGGGCCTTTGACATTCAAAAAAAGCTTCTCCGCCCAATAACTTAGAATTTCTTTTTCTGACCCACAGTCTTTATATTTGGACTTGAAAGGTAGTCATGTTGAGTAGATTACCCCTAATTGATTTTAAGTTCAGCCAGGTCAAGTCAAATGGTCACAGCGGCCTTGAATCAAAAATGCTTGGCCGCCCAATAACTTAAGATTCCTTTGACCCAGCAGTCTTCATGTTGGCATGGAGATTAAGTCATGAATAAGTAGAGATGACCTCTGATTTAAGGTCACCGGTCAAAGGTTCAAGGGTCACAGGGACCTTTGACTTGAAAAAGTTGTCAGCCCAATATAAGAAAACCTTTTACCCACAGTCTTCATATTGGCATGAAGTTAGTCCAATAATATAGATGACCCCTAATGGATTTTTGAACACTGGGTCAAAGGTCAAAGTCAATGGGCCTTGACTATAAAATGCTTTCCGCCAAATAACTTAAGAATTCCTTGAAACCCACAGTGTTCATATTTTGAACATGGAAAGTTAGTCATGATTATCCCTTTTGATTTGAGGGTACTGGGTCAAATGTCCAACTTAAAGAAAATTCCCCTCAAAATTGCTTAGAATGCCTGTCCACAGTGTATTGATTTTGACATTTCACATTGAAGCCATGTAGAACACATAACTTAAGAATGCCCTGCTCAGATTTGGCAGAGACTTGTCCCTTGGAGCTCTAAATGGCCAGTGTTGAGTCATGACAAAAGTGGTCTATGCGGGGGTATTCACGCCATAACAGTGGCAGTTCTAGTTTTAAAGTTTGGAAATTCCTAACCCAAGTAATATGTCCAGAGAGGGATTCGCTTGTTCAACTGTTGAAAAACCATTAGACCAATAATCGTTGCCAATTCGATTTGTACCAACTTTAGATGAAATTTCTTTGAACATTATAAGGCCTAAAGCCCTACACCAAGTATTATGACCAGGAGATTTCCCGAGTGGCTTGGTCATGATTTTGCACTGCGATTTGTTCTTTCTCTATATAAATATCGGTAAAAACATCATTTTCACGAGCCTTACTTTCAAAAATCATTTGACCAATTTCGTTGCTAATTTGATTTTGTACAACTATGGAGGGTCCTCTTAACATATTTAAAGTTTTAAAGCCCTAACCCAAGTAATATGTTCAGGAGATTTCCGCGTGGCTTGGTTTTTTTGGCACTGCGATATGTTCTTTCATTATATAAATTTCGGAAAAACATCATTTTCACGAGCCTAACGTTCAAAAATCATTTGACCAATTGCGTTGCAAATTTGATTTTGTAAAACTATGAAAGGTCTTCTTAACATATTTCAGGTTTTGAAGCCCTAACCCAAGTAATATGTCCAGGAGATTTCCGCTTGGCTCGGTTATTTTTTGGCACTGCAATTTGTTCTTTCTCTATATAAATTTCGGAGTTTACACAATTTTCACGAGCCTACCGTTCAAAAAATTATCTGACCAATTATGTTGCAAATTTAATTCGGCTACTTTTAAAACACACAAAAAAAGTATTTTGCCATGTTTGTTCAAAATCGCTCCATAATTTTTTTTCAAATACTTTTCCTTGTTGGTTCAGGGGAGCTTCAGGAGCTCGGAGACTGGGTCGAAAAGGAATTTGCAGAAGCAGAAGCGTTCTCAGTTTATATACCCAGTCTACCAAGCATGCGCGAACGAGATTGAATGACTTGTTAAGAGAAGGAGCCAAATATACAGGTCATTGCAAAAATACTGTGACGTATAGCGTACAAATAAAGACTTTAAACTCAAGCGCTTAAACTGAATTTTATTTTTAAAAAAAACAACAACAAAGCAACAGTTTTAAGGAAGAATGAGTGTAGTGGAGACATGTGGTTTAAGAAACCGAAGGCACCCACACAAGACATTTCAAAAACGAAGGTTTTATAATTTTGTCCCCTGCATCAAAATAGTATCATCTTAAAAATCGACTTGTATTAATTACTGAATTCAAAATTTATAGGTCACCATTTGGTTGATAATAACATTTAAGGACATGAATGGTGACATGTCCGGGGTTCATACTCTCAGTGCCTGAAAGGGCAGATGGACCCTCATTAAGCCCCCCCCCCCACACATACACACACGCGCACATACACCAACAGACGCACACACACACACACGCACGCAAGCACAAACACACACACACGCACGCACGCGCGCACACAGGATATTACACATTGTATGCTGTTGTTAATACTATAATTTACTATGGTGAATGCAAAAAAAACACATTGACTACATTAATAGAAGCCCTCAGGTCAAAATTGGCCCTGCCCTGGGAACATTGATTTTCCTATTATGTATATAGTAAAAGCTTTGATTTATCTTTTATTTTAAAGGGGAAATCTACGCAATAAGGGGAAATTTAGACTTTTTTTCCGGGGGGATTGACAATGGTAGTAAATCGGCTTGGAAGTAGCTGGATACCGGCAGCAGCAAAGGATGGTAAAAAGGTCCTGCTTATCTACTTCCAACAAAACCATCTATTTTGTACAGCAAACAGTGACATCTTATGTAACTGTTTTTTCCCTTCGCCAAAGCAACCAATAATGTTTTCACATGTGCACTATTTCAGATACAAATATGAACTTTAAGATTTAAATTTTACATCTGCTTTTATTGATAGTTTACAATACCAGTATAACTTGTTTCTTGTCATGGAGAGTTTTGATATTCAGGTGAGCGATATTAGGGTCATCATGGCCCTCTTGTTAAAAATGTATGATGTGTTTGAACATTTCATGCTGGTGATAGTGGATTGAATTACTAACTACCAGCTGTTAAATAGTTGGGTATTACAAACAACCAGCTTGTAGGTAATTGGTTATTGGAATATTCAACTACTTACTACCATCAAAATTTACACTTAATGGCCACATCATTGAATATGTTTTGTTCTTTTAGTAACACATAGTTACGTAACTGTACCTTCTATATCTCGTTACACGAACTTCCTTTTTACATGTAAAGTTTGTGTTTTACACATTCAGTATTGAAATATGAAAATGTTGAAGTGTAAATTTATCGTTTTATTTTTTTTTACATTTAACATATGCATGGTCGGTTTTCAATAGACAGGTTCGTATACACTAGGTTAAATTTAATCTAATACCACATGCATTTTGATAATTGTTTATCTAACCATTTAAAATATAAACATGTTGGAATTTTGTTTGTTTGGATTATTGTTGATTCTTGTGACATTTTTGTTTATCCGAAAAGGTGAGCGGAGAGTGGGCAATGTAATCCCTGGACCAAAGGGCCTTCCTTACTCTGGGAGCCGTTTTGAAATGAACTTCCTCAATATGTATGGAAAGTGTATAAATTATGCTAAGACTTATGGGGATATTTTTCAGGTCAAGCTTATGAGTAATCGAATAATTGTAATAAATTCTGAGCGATTATTCCGATTGGCAACGACAGGGGAGGAATATAAGCTATATCTTAATGATAGGCCAGCTTCATTTTATGGAGAAACGTTTTTGAATGGATCACAATGGGCTTCACTTCATACAAACGGGTCAATCAAGGAGCATGCTCCATACAGGAAAATGTTTGCAAGATTCATTAGGGATGCTAAGGCCGAGGAAAGACCTCTGTTTCTGGACAAGATATCATGCAAAAAAGGTGTTGATTTCGAGATTGTTTCAGAGCTGAAAAGCTCCTTGGCAACGACAATTTGTAGCATAGTTAGTATCTAGAACATATTTACACGTTCTATTTCTTCTTTTTACGTATGTCTGTACGCATACGTGATACGTTGTATACATATATTTGGTATGGTTTTACATGTGTATGTTAACGTATTTAAATTCAATTTTCTCTCTTTCAAAACTGCCATCGCCGCCATGATTAAACTAAATATAGCCAAATCTTCTGCTTTCTTGTCAGAATCGCAGTTTTACCTGGCTGGTGTAAAACATTATATTTTGTCTGTTTTTTCTCTTTTCAGACATCCTACAGCATACAATTTTAAATGGAGAAGACAAATGTCATTAACATAAACGAATAACATTTATTTCTTTTTGCAACAAAAAAATGAATTATGATGATTAAATCAGTATGTTTATATCAGTAGTAGTCGGAGTAATTATTTTACGATTGTTCTCAGCAATTTGTTTGTTTGTTTTAAGTTGATTGGCAATGATTTTAATGAGCGTGATCCAAAATTGGTGGCAGAGTTTATGGATATTACGGATTACCTTTTGCCATCATCCGACGTGAATGACGCAGTACAGGCATACCCCTGCTTACGCATTTTTACACCAACATATAACGTTAAGTTTCAACGAGCTTCCGCAATAAAGTACGCCATAATGAATGTGTATGTTAAACAACAGAAGGTAAAGAATTTCAGAATTGTTTATATTATAAAGTTATCTTATGGTATACAAGAACGATAGTATATAATCAATATTTGTGTCGCCCCTAGAGAGTAGTGGTGGTATATAGGGATCACTTCTCCGTCGTCTGTCTGTATGTCCATCCGTCACAAAACTTGTCCGGACAACTCCTCAAAAACTACCGGTGCAATTTCATCCAAACTTTACAGGAATGATCAGTACCAAGCCTAATTGTACATTATATCTGAATGTATTGGTTCAATGATTTTTGTCAAAGTTATCTCCCTTTAATGATTTTTATCTTTAAAGTGAGTCCGGACTTCTCCTCTTATGCAACTGATGCAATTTCAATGAAACCTTACAGGATTGATTGATAGCTCTAGCACTAGAGCATGTTACACGAGTTTTCCCCTTGAATGACTTTTGGCCGAGTTAAGGTTATTGAATAAAAAACGTTGTAATAAAGTTTGTCCGGACAACTTCTCTTATACCATTCATTCAATTTCAATGAAACAACAGGATTTACAAATATAGCCCAAGTATATTACAGAGGTTTCCGCTTCAATGATATTTGCCCGAGTTATGGCCAATGGCATTGAATAAAAAGATGTTATTCTTTGTGTTGTCATACACAGTAGCTTATCTGGAATACTCCTCAAAAACTACTGGTATAATTTCATTCAAACTTAACAGGAATGATATACAAAGTCTAGTTTTTGGCATTATTATCGGCATTTTTTGGACAATGATTTTTTTTGCAATTTCAATAAAACTTTACAGGGATTATTGGAAGCTCAAGTACTTGCGCATATTCCACGGTTTTTAATGTTAAATGATTTTTTGCTGAGTTATGGCCCTTGTTTAAACGCGCGTTTTGTTCTGTTAATATTGTGTGTGTTTCCTGTTATACAGTAGCAGCTGGTTTCATGAGGCGACACATATGATCACTGATTGCTCTTATTGCATCAAAAATCTACTCAAAACATTACCCGCTATTAGTATATGCAATTAAACATATTCTGTATGTTATGTGATGAAAATAAACTTAAAGCTACAATTAATAAATTTCATAAAAATCTAAGTAGCGACATTGCATTATTAAATTGGGTTTCATATCGATACCAGGTATTATTTTAGTTTCCAGACAACTAAAATGAGTTTTAAAGGCATAAAAAAGGTAGTCCAATATATTAGACGTTACAGGCTTGTTATAGTTTTATGTTGGTCAAGTCTGACGTCTAATAGTTATTGCTCATAAACGCGTAGCATTTTGAAAAATTAAAAAAAATGTCTGTTGACTTGCCTTTCAAGCTTTATTCAAAAGCTTATCTTCTGTTCTTTCAATTGCATGGTCTATCATTAACAAAAACTTTCAAACAATGTACTTATCAATTAAAAATAAAATATAAATATCAGTCTATTTCGCTCATCGGCCATACTGGTTAAGTAAAGCGTTTTACAGATTGATTCCAATTTTTTGAACGGAAAAATATATTCGAACACACTGACGGTGCATGGGCAATTATTTCGTTGAAAAAATATTCCGTTAGAAACTTCTGGACTCATTTAAACGCTTGCATTTGAATAAGCCAATCAGATTTCGCGCACTGTATGGCGGCCATTTGTATATCGGCTGTACAAGAAATTTAATTAGATGAGAGGATTTAATCATGACTTTTCGGATGTGACAGTTCAATTATTTTGTTAAAAGGTATTTAATTTTTAGTTTTGGTCATATATAGGTCAAAATTTATGTAAATACACGCTGTTTTAATTGTTTAAATGCATTAGATCTAAATCGATGTCTAATGTCAATTTTTTTGCTACACGATTTTGCAAAGATCTGTTAAGACCTAACGTAACATGGAACATGAAAAATGTAAAATATCAGATTAATGAATGATAAATATGAAATAGGTTACGTATAGGTCTTATAATTAGGACTAAAAAAGGGTAACCTCATTGTGGCGAAATGGGAAGTACTATTTATGTTTGCATGAGAAACTCCGCCTTCGGATCATCCGTACAACAAACATGACTAAAGTAGTAGTCCTAATTTAACGGTATATTTCCCGCATTGTAACGGATGTTTTCATACCAATTTAATCTATTTACGAGATGATTACTTTTTCTGAACCCCAGACTTAGTGCACCGTGAAGCTAAAACGGTAAAAGTGTGTTTGCACAAGAAAATATCATATTTGCTGTGTTCCGGATAGGAACTATTAAACTGTGACGTAGCGCATGTATACACAGCTCATAATAGGCTTCATTTGCATGTTAAAATCAAAGGAACTCTGGAACAGGACCGCATATTGCGGCGCATAAATCCGAATCCGTACCAGCTTTACATATTGTTTGTCCGACCTTTGAATATCTTTTTATATTATACGAGCGGATGGTCTTTAATAATCTTATCTCAATTTAATATAATCTGCTAATTTAAAAATCAGTCAAATTTACGGTATATTGAAAAAAGAAAAGGAGTGACATCCGCCATTTGCCGCAAAGTTCGGCGTAAGTTACCCCCCTTGATATGCTTGATTTTTGTTTTAATTTTTGTAGTTCTCTTTTGAATATTTATCTATGGATCATGTTTTAATATTCCTATTTTTCAGTTAGGCAAAATCTATTAGACCATATTACTAAAGTGTCTGTTTTCTCCATGTAAACAAATCATAACACGAATACGCCCGTTATAATGCCGACTATACATGTCAAACACTAGTGCATGTCAACACGTGTAAACAATAAACCGTTACGATACTGATAGTTGACAACGATAACGGGAACAAAATTCTGAAAAAATAGTAATCAAGTGTAGCCAAAGGGGGAAAACTCATGCCGAACGTTGCGGCAAATGGCGGATGTCACTCCTTGTCTTTTTTTATAATACCGTAAAATTTGACCAGTTTTAAAAGTAACAGATTGGGTTCAAGTGATAATATATTGTTTGAGGCCATATGCTCGGATAGTACTTAAAGATATTCAGATGTAGCAGAAACGTTTTTAAAAACCGTTACACGATGGAAAATATGCGCCGCAATCTGCGGTCCCGTTCTCGAGTTCCTATATACGAACTTTAGTGTTACCGTGGGGGTTTCCGTTTAAAATCCTAATTTATGAACAATATTTGATGAGATTTACAACAATACTGTTAAACGTGTTAATAAAACTATAGAATGCTTGATTTTTAGGCCGACGACAAAATATTTTTAAAATATTTATTTAATGCAGCTTTAACTGAGAAACTGAAAAATGCAGACTGATTTTAGTGTGAATAACCACATAATGGATTATTTATTATCTCATCAAAGCTTTATTTATTATCTCATCAAGTAACGTGTTACTGAATGTAAATAATATTACCACGTTGTAGGAAAAAATTGTACCCGGTGTTGTCAGAGGAATAGTGGATCAGTCCCTGCAAGAACAAATGGAAGACATAAAAGCTGGCCGGGAACCACTTCTCACCGACGATAAAATATTTTATCAAGTATTAGAAGTAATGGAAGCAGGTAGGACAGGTTATGCCAACAAAGATATTAAAAATAGTGTTGACTGTTTCATTGTCAAAATAATGCTATTGCTTCATATATAAATATTGTCTTAATGATTGAATTTTGACAATTACCTATTTACACTAGTGCTATAACAATTCCATTGTATTGGGAAAATTAAAATATCATATAGCATAGTGTCCTAAATCAGGGCTGGGAATCAAAACTGCGTCGTATCCTACAAAATGTAAACAAACGCCGCCATCTTGGAGCGAAAAATGTATGTTTTTGTTTATAACTCTTTTTGTTGGAAATGACTGAAAACAAGATATATGTATTAACACGCTACACTATTTTCCGCTTCGTTCGGTATATGTTGCTTGCACAACTATTTTGTAAAACAAAAGTTATAGCGAACTTGCAACTCGAAGCGAGGCAGAATTTTTATGAAAATGTGTGGATACGACGCAGTTCATATTGCTTTATCTATCGTTTTTCCTTCAAATCAATTATATACTCGTTTTCAGAGTTCACCATAAACGTCAAAACATAATTTTGCATCATTTACTAAACTTTCACTTAAAAGAGATGTTTATTTTCCAAGAAAATAATGATTTTTACGAAATGATACGACGCAGTTGAAAATAAAATATGATACGACGCAGTTGTATTTTCATTGCAGGCTGAATATTTGTTAAACTATTTAAATTATGTGCTAGGTATGCCAATAACGTCCTACAACATTTCTTGTTTACAACTTAAGTCAAAAGCAGAGGTCACTAATTGGTTTCATAAAAATGAAAATGTAATACAATTCTATTAAGGATGCATTTTTCGGTCGCATTTTAGTACTAATCATAATCATCTACAAATTCCGAAAAGCTGTATCAAATGCAATATACATTGAAACACGTGATCGCACACCCATATGACAACGTGTTCTACTGTTGCCTTAGCATGCTAATAAACTTGTTCACGTGAGTTCGAAATGGGAATGATTACTATTTTTGATACAAAATTCAATATTCCAGTGTAACCTCCACCACTGGACCCTGTATTAATCAGGAATGACTTTTTTCTTAAAAAAAAGGAGAAAAAATTACAAATTTTGAAAAGGTCTCTCGCTATCGGGAATGCGCAAATTGCATGCCTACCGTTGTTACTTGTAATGAGCAATAATTTCCGTCAATTCCGTTATTACTTTTGTCTTTTACGTGCCAATTTTATTGTATTCATTTTCTTAATAATTGACGAGGACAGATGAGCTTTATTATTTGAAATTGGACATTAAATTTTTAAAATAATATTATAAATGGTTAAGCTACAATATATTTTTGCAAGTAGTTTATGCGTTCCGTTTAGTCATTTTATGTTCAGCGCCGCGGAACTTTACCCCTGCGTTTCTTTATCGCCGATGAGGAAATGTCTTCGGAATGTATTTCTATACTTGCACTTGAGTATCATTCTTCTCCATCAAAAAACTTTTCAAAATCGAGTTACATATGATACAACTACAAATTATTTTGTAAAAAAGGTGTCCGTTTTGCAAAGGTATTTTACGCAATGCACCGATAAATTTGATACAGATATAGGCAGACATGATCTTTCAACAGTATTGAAGAATTATTAAGTTTTCACAATATTGAACAGAAAATGTCAGATTATCGTATCGAATTTTCAACAGACTAGAGACATGACATCTTAACATACCTTCATACTAAAGTGTGATTTTTATTTGATAATGAATTGCCTGAAAACTTAAACAAAAGTTTTCAGAAAATGACTTCACAGAGGATTACCCCCTGTTTACATTTAAAATTTCTCTGCTATTAATACCGAAATAAGAAATTTAAATTTTATTCTCTTTATAATTATTTCAATTATTTTTAATCTTAAAACTTCACGTCAGAAGTTAATAAAAAAAAGCTGCTTATTTGTACAGATGACGTTAACAAATTTTGTTGAAAAAACAAATCAGACAGGTGTGTCCGACCGAGGCCGAGCTGTTTATGTTTACTGAATTCAAATCACTTGAACTGAACTGCTATGAATTCGAAAACCACCAGGGACTTTTTATTCTTTTGTGTGGAAAACCTATCAAGCTAGTTTCAAAATGTCGACGGTTACCTGCAGGTACAACATTTTGCCTGAAATAATGCACAGAGGCGCACCTGAGGTCCTCGCCCCTAGTAAAGCTAATGTGTAGAGTGAAAGTTTGAAAAGAAACCACAAAAAAGCAGTCAATACCCAGAACATGCAGAACCACAGTTAACTTAGAGCGTAGCTAGCCAAAATGAATTTAAGTTAATAGATTTCTACATTTTTTTGCGAAAAAATTAGGGATAATATTGAACATACAGGAAAACATAAGAAATTATTTTAGATATTATGATCAATAAGGTAACATGTTCATGTTTAACTGAAAAGTAGCTTCCGCAATGTAAACTTTCAAATTAAACGTTATATTGGATATGACACATTGTATTCTAAATAATCAACAGAACATTGCTTTACACCGCAAATGATCTGGGTTTTTATCTAGCGCAAGTGATTATTCCATAAAATAGAAATATATTGCCAAACTTATCCCTGTTGAAAAGACTGCCAAAAATACAACTGCGTCGTATCATATTTTATTTTCAACTGCGTCGTATCATTTCGTAAAAATCATTATTTTCTTAGAAAATAAACATCTCTTTTTAATAAAATTTTAGTAAATGATGCAAAATTATATTTCGAAGTTTATGGTGAACTCTGAAACAAATATATAATTGATTTGAAGGAAAAAACGATAGATAAAGAAATATGAACTGCGTCGTATCCACACATTTTCATAAAAATTCTGCCTCGCTTCGAGTTGCAAGTTCGCTATAACTTTTGTTTTACAAAATAGTTGTGCAAGCAACATATACCGAACGAAGCGGAAAATAGTGTAGCGTGTTAATACATATATCTTGTTTTCAGTCATTTCCAACAAAAAGAGTTATAAACAAAAACATACGTTTTTCGTTCCAAGATGGCGGCGTTTGTTTACATTTTGTAGGATACGACGCAGTTTTGATTCCCAGCCCTGTAAATTTGAATCTGTCCTAGAGCCAACATCATTTCTATATCTGTCCCAATGTCTTGTAAGATGTCCATACATTGCCGTGGTTGTGGTAGAAATTTGATACCCGACTTTGCTGTTCAAACTTTAAAATATCAACAGGTTTGGTAGCATGGTGGACTTTCCTGTCAAATGCGCTTCTCTGTCTGCTAAATCATCCAGAATATCAAGACAAAATGTTTGAAGAACTAGAGCGAGTTGTAGGGCATAAAAGGGATGTAAAACTGAGTGATAAATCTCAGTGTCCATTTACTGAGGCGGTTGAGCTAGAAGTTCATCGTTATCTACCAGTTGTTCCTTTTCTAGATGCTAGATTTTGTGGAGTTGACTTAAACTTTGAAGGGTACGATTTACCAAAAGACAGTATAGTAAGTTACATTATTTATTGTTACTTCATGTTTTTATTTATGAACTTGTCTTTTGAAAGTTAGTGGTTTGACCCTATAGAAATTAGACAAAATGAGGAAATCGTTTAATTATGTTTCTACATGCATGTATAAATACATCTGCAATTACAAATATTTACATGTAGACGATATTTTCAGGAGGTAATTCCTTTCAGAAGTATTCTCCGGGTTCCGTTCCGCATAATCTAACATAAAGCGGAACGGGTACCTCGCAACTGTTGCGGGAGAACATTTCCGATTTAGGAATTACCTTCTACATGTAGACTCTTTCTTAAGATACAGGCACATAGGACTTAGTGTCTGATGTCAGTCTTGGAGCACAAGGCCATTCAGAAGTCTGTAAAATCCAGTTGTTTGCATGTGTGCTCGACCCATTTGGTTTCTCTTTGAGTCGCCTGTACGGAGTAGTGGCGACATATAGGGATCACTTATCTGTCGTCTTTTTGTCCTTCCGTCACAAAACTTGTCTGGAATTCTCCTCATAAACTACTGGTGCAATTTCATCAAAACTGAATACCAAGTCTAGTTTTGCATATCGTCAGCATTTTCCGGTTTATTGTTGTTTTTTTTGTTAGCGTCATGGGCCTTGAATAATATTTATTTTTAAAGTTTGTCCGGACTACTACTATTATACCACTTATGCAATTTTAATAAAAGTTAACACGCTTGATCTTTAGCCAAGTCCTTGTTTTCCTGTTGAATAATTTTTGGCCGAGTTATGGCCCTTGAATAAAAAAGTTTTGTTGGTGTATTGCCAGATACTCGAATGCATGTCCGAACTAATTCTCAAAAACTACTGGTGAAATATCATCCAAACTTTACAGGAATAATATATATTATTGGTTTTTTATGGTTCAATGATTTTTGTCAGAGTTATGACCCTTTAATTATTTTTATTTTTTAAAGTTTGCCCGGTCTACTCTTCTTATTCCACTGATGCAATTTCAATGAAATTTTACAGGATGATGTGTAGGTCAAGTACCTGCGCATATTACACGGGTTTTACGCTTGAATGATTTTTGGACCAATTATAGCCTTTGAATGAAAAGGGTATTTTAATCAAGTTTGTTCGGATTACTCCTCTCATACCACTTATGCAATTTCAATAAAACTTTACAGGATTGAATGGCAGGTCAAGTACTTGTGCATGATTCACAATTCTTTTGTTTGAATGATTTTTGGCTGAGCTTGTTTGTGTTGCCAGCTACTTTTTTGGACTATTCTTCAGAAACTACTGGTGCATTCTTATCAAAACCTAACAGAAAGATCAATATTATGTCTAGTTGTGCATCTAATCATCATATTTCGATGTAATGATTATTATCAGAGTAATGTTCCTTTAATGATTTTAATTTTTTAAATTGTCCGGACTAATCCTCTTATACCACTTATGCAATTTTAATGAAACTTTACAGGATTGATCGGTAGCTCAAGTACTTGCATAGAGTCAAGGGTTTTTTTGGTTGAAGGATTTTCAGCCGAGTTATGGGTCTTGAATAAAAAATGTATTTTGCCCTGTTAATGTTTTTGAGCTCTGTAGGAGCACATTTGTCTCGGAGCACATTTGTCTCACGAAGTGTGACCGATGTGTTCGTAAACATTCATATTTGCGACAAATTGGAAATGAGACAGATGTGTTCGACACACAATAGAAAGGGCATTCGAAGCACATTTGTCTCACATTTTTCCATAAAATTCTTAAAAGGTAATAATTATGCCCGTCCGTTTACCGGCAACCAGCCATTGTTCTGTGTTTTCTGTATTTATAAAACCGTTTTTAGGTCACTTCCGGTCAGTCAAAAACTTCCTGCCTCTGCATAGGAGTCATATAATTAAATTAAAGAATATCCCTGTTCTGCATGTCACAATGAAAATTTCTACAAGTGCAGCATCCAGAACCTAAACACATATGCAGCAAGTCTATTGTTATCGTTATCAATTGTGATACGTTTATTTTCAATGCTTTAAGTTTTATAAATGATTTATGGCACTAGAAATATTCTTAAAAAAAACAAGGTAGTATCTACGGTGGCATAAAGTGGACATACAATTTTCTTATTTATTACGTGCGCACACGATAGCTTTCACGTGGTCACGCGATACTATTACGTGCGCTCGCGATAGCTATGACGTGCGATCGCGGATATGTATTCCGCATTTGGACACTGACCGGGATCCTCGCAAAATTCGATGAATAGTTCGATGCCAACCTACAGCGGTTAGGGACAAGTGTTGTTGTTTTTTTTAAATCAATCGGCCACGGAGGCCCTTAAATGATCTATGGAAGAAAATAAGAAGACCATTACACATGTATTTTGTTTTCATCAGAAATATATGTATGTAAAAATCGTCATTTTCCAAGAATTGCGGCTTTCAGATCCGCCATTGAAAAAGCACTTACAACATGTATATGAGTTCCTAAAATAATCCGGGTAATGCCATAATTATGGAATATCGGACCACTCAGAATCGTGCGAGACGCGTCATTCCGATGAGACACGAAGCGAGGCACGATATTGTAACACGAGATCTCGCAATGTCGAAGTATCCGGTACCACGAAATTTCAGAAATGAATAAATTTTTACTTCTTTAGATAGAGCAAGTATGAATTTACTAATATTCAAATAAAGATTGCTGAGGAAGTTAGATGCTTGTAATCTAAAGAAATTCGCGATATATATGAAATAATGCGTCATAAAAGTAGCAAAATATAAACAATGTAGTATTTTGACTTCAATATAAAATTCTAAATCACTTCAACTGTACAAACTGCAAAAAAGCAGCAGATGAAAAATGCTTTAGGTAATTAGCCAATGAGTAACTTTTTGGAGCTATAAAAGTATACCAAAAATTCAAAGCTTTTAAGGAATACAAATAAAAGCATTTCTCAGGCATAATGGGCCTTTAAGTGATTTTATGAAGACTATAAAGGGAATACTAATTAGCGGTATATGACCTGGAATCAATTTCTTGTTTTGCGTCGAGATGCGAAGCGAGATTTCGCCGAGATGCGAAACGAGTCACAATATTGTATCATTCAATATCAACCGATTACGGTGTTCCGTTTAGACATAAGTAACATTTTTGACTCCTTGAACAGCTATGCGCACTGGAACAAAGGTGAAATTGAGATGGTACGATGATTAAAGCACGATGATGCGATGACACGATAGAGAAAATAATATCGCGTTTTCATCATCATGCCATCGCAGTTTCATCATATCGTACCATCGTATTTTCGCAATCGTAACATCGTCTTTCACCATAGTATCATCATGTTTTCATCATCGAACCTTCGTTGTTTCACCATCGTACAATCGTTGTTTCACCATCGTACAGTTGTTGTTTCACGTTCGTACCATTATGTTTTCACCATCGCACCATCGCGTTTTCATCAACGTAACATCGTGCCACCGGGCTGTCACCATTGTACCATTGTGAACGGGATTTAGTTTGTTTCACTGTACGCCTTCAGGTTAAGCCAATCAATTACTTGAATTAGAGATATTATGATTATAGTTCACTTTAGGTTTTCATAAAGAAAGCATGAGCAAACCTATTGATCATTACACTTGACATGAGGTAAAACGGCGAACCTCGATTCTAAAAAAGAATTTCTGCCGTGTGAATAATGTGACAAATAATTCATAAAAAATGACATGAGACAAAATGTGCTTTCTTGTCCCTTAAAAACACATGAGACAAATGTGCTTTCTTGTCCCTTAAAAAACTTGATCGGAGCACATTTGTCACACAAATGAGTTTTTTGGGGTAGACATTTGAGGTCCCATTTGTCTCGTGTGGGACAAATGCGACCGCATTGGTCTTACGTAAGACAAATGTGCTCCGAGAAAAACGTGCTCCTACAGAGCTCTCCTACACCGTAGCTGCGACATGCAATTGGCTATCATGAGGCGACACATGTCATCACTGATGGCTCTTTTTATACATTTCAAGTGTAAATACCTGGCTAAAATGTACATGTCATGACGGTCCTGTCTTTCGCACCTCGCTGATTAATTATTTTCGGGCTTTATTGCGGTAACTGACGATATTACCCGGTGGAAAATTTTGACACCAAGAACGGGCATACCCATAATTTTCGTACTTGGAAATCAAAAATCATTTTTATACCGCCGCACAACACAGTTATAAGGGGGTATACTTGAATCAGCTTGTCCGCCCGTCGTCGGGCGTCCGTCGGTTTTTCCTTGTCCGCCAAATAACTTAAGATTCCTTGGACCCACAGTCTTCATATTTGGTATTTAGATTAGTCATGATTATTAGATGACTCCTATTGATTTTGAGGTCATCAGGTTAAAAGTCAAATCACAGTGGCCTTGACTAAAAAAAGCTTGTCCGTCCAAAAACTTAAGAATCCTTTGACCCATAGTCTTCATATATGGCATTGAGGTTAGTCATGATCATTAAATGACCTATATTGATTTTGAGGTCACCAGGTCAAATGTCAAGAACAAAGGGGCCTTTACTAAAAAAAAGCTTGTCCACCAACTAACTTGAGAATCCTTTGACCCAACGTCTTCATATTTGACATGGAGATTAGTCATAATTAGCAGATGAACCCTATTGATTTTGAGGTCACCAGGTCAAAGGTCAAGGTCACAGAAGCCTTGACTAAAAAAGCTTGTCCGTCCAGTAACTTAAGAATCCTTTGACATACAGTCTTCATATTTGGCACGGAGGTTAGTCATAATTAGTAGATTAACCCTATTGCTTTAGACGTCACCAGTCTTCATATTTGGCTCGGAGGTTGGTCATGACCATTTGGTAACCCATGTTGATTTTGAGCTTACTGGGTCAAAAGGTCAATGTCACTAGGGCCTTAAGTTCAAAAAGCTTGTCCGCTCAATTGCTTAAGAATGCTTTAGTCAACAGTCTTTATATTTGGTATTGAGGTTGGTTATGGCTACTAGACGACCCCTATTGATTTTGATGTCACTTGGTCAAAGGTCAAGGTCAGAAGGACCTTGACTAAAAAAGCTTATCCGTCAAATTACTTATGAATTCTTTGACTCGCAGTCTTCATATTTGGCATGAATGTTTATCATGATCATTTTTTATTTTGAAATCACTGGGACAAAGGTCAATATCACAGGGGCCTTTAGTTAAAAAAGCTTGTCACCTCAATTGCTTAAGAATGCTTTGGTCAACAGTCTTCATATTTTATTTAGGGTGGGTGGCTATTAGATTTAAAACTTTTGATTTTTTTGGGGGCTGTTCAATGGGCAAGCCCCGGGGGTTTTACTACAAAAGCTGCGTCAAAGCGTCCCCCAGTGTATTTATTTTGACATTTTTTACATTTGAAGCATAAAAAGTTCTCATTTTTTTCATCATAAAAAACCCCAGGCAAAGCTGCATAATGTGGGGGGGGGTGGGAATATTAAAAAATGCAGTGGGAGTTTTTTTTAGGTCAGTAATCAAAGGGAAATCACTTTAAATTTTCCCCTAAAAAAAGAAGAAACAAACTTAAAAAACACTAGCTTACACCCCCCAATTGGGAGGGGGGTTGTCCTTGAGCCTAAATCACCCAAAATTTCTGTTTTTAAATGGTTTACGTATTCACCCCAGCAGTGCCGTGGCAGTTTTATTTTTTTTTCGATTTTAATTTTCTTAATTATATAATATTAAAATTATAAAAATTCAAAATTTCACCTTTTCATGTTTAAATCTTGAATTCTGCTTGAGCCGGTGCTAGGGGGCGTGGACAGTAACTTACACTTTCCAGTACTGTCCATCAACAGGCTTAATCAAACCGAACCTGCAACAGTATCAATTTTGTCGTTTTTGGCGTACTTTAGGGAATCCGTTTTCTCTTTAAGATACTTGGAAATATATGGTTCATTCATCATAATGAAACTATATTCGAAGATCCATGGAAATTTAGACCGGAAAGATGGCTTGAGGAGGATGGAAAACTAATAAACAAGAACCATGTGTACAGAAAAAAGTAAAATAGATATTTAGTATTTTTATCAGCATCAAGATAAACTAATTTCATCCTTAAAGATGTTTTTACATTTTGAAAGTACCCTAGTTGGTATCACAGATAATAACGTATTATATGTTGTTATTATGCACCCCACCTTCCCCACCTTCGAAGAAAGGGGGTATATTGTTTTGATAATGTCGGTTTCCGCTATTATCTTAATTTTTTTTATCACAAAGTCTTCATATTTCACAAACCGATTTGTCATAAGTGGTAGATGGGTGTTTCTTTTGGGTCACTAGGTCAAAGGTAAATGTCACAGTGACCTTAAATGCCAGAATAGTTTCCGCTCATTATTTTGAAAATTATTTATCACAGTCTTCAAATTTCACATACGGCTTAGTCATATACAGTAAATGACCCCTATTGATATTGCGATCACTAATTCAAAGGTCAAGGTCACAGGGGCCTTAAATGTCAGAATTGTTTCCGCCAATTATCTTGAAAACTATTTAACACTTAGTCTTTATATTTCATATACTGGTTTGTTATAACTAATACATGACCCCTGTCGATTTAAGGATCCGTTTTTCTGTCTATCTGTCCATCTGTAGACCACATTGTTTCCGCTCATTATCTGAAAAAATGTTTATCACAAAGTCTTTATATTTCACATACTGATTTTTCATAATTGTTAAATGACCCTGATTGATTTTGGGTTCAAAGGTTAAGGTCACAGGGCTTTAAATGTCAGAATGGTCTCCCTTGAAAACTATCGCAAAGTCTTCATTTATCACTTATTGATTTGTCATATGCAGCAGATGACCCTATTGATTTTTGGTTCTCTAGTTCAAAGATAAAGGTAAAGCTAGCTCATTTTCTAATTATGCCCCCGCCCCCTTCAAACAAGTGGGGGTATATTGCTCTGCATTTGTCTGTCAGTCGGTCCGTTGGCCAAATGGTTTCCGATCAATAACTTAAGACCGCTTAGGCCTAGGAAATTAGTATGGGGATTATGACTAGACCATGACCCCTATTGATTTTTGGGCCGAGGAGTCAAAGGTCAAGGTCACATTGATCTTGTAGGTAAAAACGGTTACTGATCAATTAAGACAACCATTAAGTTGTTAGTCTTCAAACTGCATAGGTACATTGGCCTTGGCCTAATGATGACCCCTATTGATTTCGAGGTCAAGGAGTCAAGGTCACATTGACCTTGAAGGTAAAAACGGCTTCCGATCAATAACTTGATAACACATCGGCCCTTGGCCCTCAAACTGCACAGGTGCATTGGTCTTGGCCAGTAGATAACCCCTATTGATTTTAGGGTCAGGGGGTCAATGATTAAGGTCACATAAACCATGTCAAACAGTTTCCTATCATTAACTCAACAACCCATGGACGTTGACATTTTAACTTCACAAATGCATTGCTTTTGGTCAGTAGATGACCTCAATGGATGTTTTGGGGTCAAGGGTCAGAAGTCAAGATCACACTGACCTAATGGGTAAAAGGAGTTTCTGATCAATATGTCGAAAACTCATGGGCCCTTTACACTCAAACTTCACAGGTGCATTGGTCTTGGCCAGTAAATAACCCCTACTGATTTAAGAGTAGCATTGACCTTGTACGTCAAAAAGGTTTCTGACCAATAACTCAACAACTCAAGTTGCCTTGGTTGATATTTTTAGCTCACCTGAGCTTGCTCAGGGTAAGCTTTAAGGTTTGTTGAATGTCCGTTGTCTTTCGTCCGTCGTCCGTCCACACCCGTCCACACTTGTTCGTTAACACTCCAGCGGTCAAATTTTTGCCTCAATCATCATCAAACTTTGTCAGGATGCTTATATAGGTAATAGCTCAGATGAGTTCGAACATGGGTCATCTCGGATGTAAAACTCGGTCACAGGAGCTAGAAATAGAAAAACCTTGTTAACACTGTAGTGGTCACATTTTGACTAACTTTGTCAGGATGCTTGTTTAGGTAATTGCTTGAATGAGTTTGAACATGGGTCATCTCGTATGAAAAACTAGGTCACAGGAGCTAAAAAAGAAAAACCTTATTAACACTCTAGTAGTCACATTTTTGACTCAATTATCATCAAACTTAGTCAGAATGCTTTTCAAGGTAATTGCTCGGATGAGTTCGAACATGGGTCATCTCGGATGGAAAACTATGTCACAGGAGCTAAAAATAGAAAAACATTTTTAACACTTAAGTGGTCACATTTTTGACTCCATTATCATCAAACTTAAAAATAGAAAAACCTTGTTAACACTCTAGTGGTCACAATTTTTACTGAATTATCATCAAACTTGGTCAGGATGCTTATATAGGTAATAGCTCAGATGAGTTCGAACATGGGTCATCTCGGATGTAAAACTCGGTCACAGGAGCTAAAAATAGAAAAACCTTGTTAACACTCTAGTGGTCACATTTTGACTAACTTGGTCAGGATGCTTGTTTAGGTAATTGCTCGAATGAGTTTGAACATGGGTCATCTCGGATGAAAAACTAGGTCACAGGAGCTAAAAATATAAAAATCTTGTTAACACTCTAGTGGCTACTGTTTTGATCAAAATATCCTTGAAATTGGTTTGGAAGTCTGCTTTGATGATTTCTAGGTCAAGTTTGAATATGGGTCACCTGGGGTCAAAAACTAGGTCACACTGATCAGTTATGGATAATCCTTGTTAACACTCTAGTGGTCACATTTTTGACTTACCTGTCATGACACTTGGTCAGAATGCTTGTCTAGGTAACAGATCGGATGAGTTCGATGGGTCAGGTGAGCAATCTAGGGCCAACTTGGCCCTCTTGTTTATTAAACTAAAAACTTTCGTATACACATTTCAAAATAGCCCTTATCGAATATTTTGGTCACTAGTTCAAAAGTCGGGCACAATTACCTGGCCACATGACTAATTGGCTGCCAATAGGGGGCATACATGTTTTACAAACATATCTTGTTATTAATTATTTTTTCTATAACTGGACACTTCCATTTACCAATCAATGGCATATGTCTATAAGGTAGTTTCCAATAGTATGAATCAAGGGCTAAAAAGGGGCCATATGTGTCGTTCGACATTTCTTGTTCCTCTTTTCTTGTACTAATGATACATATGGTTAAACCAACGTGTTTAGCTGTTGGTAACGTGGGTTGATATAGAACTGATTTTCTGTATAAGACGTGTAAAAGTAGCACAAAACGCTCACAAAGTACAATATTAAGTGGCTTCTACATTTCAAGAAATTTTTAACAAATGAATTACGTTAAGTGTAAATCAAAGTCCATTACATTTAAGTTACCGTTATATTGTCTTTTATTTTAGTTTGATTCCTTTTGGCTCTGGTTCCCGAAAATGTCTAGGGAGTCATTTATCCTCATCAATTTTGTTCATGCATTTGTCGTCAATATTCAGACGTTGGAAATGTGTGTCTCCGCCAGGTGGTACAATGTCTTGTGATCCTAGAGACCAAACAAATTTTGAAAACAAGGTAACCTTACGCCCGAAACCTTTCTACGGACGTTTTGAGGAAAGATTCTAGTATGATGTGTAATCTCAAGATAAATGAGATTAATCACAGTCGTCTAGCAGTCAATGATATTATCACGTGCATCTAGCAGTCAACGAGATCATCACAGGCATCTAGCAGTCAATGAGATCATCACAGGCATCTAGCAGTCAACGAGATCATCACAGGCATCTAGCAGTCAATGAGATCATCACAGGCATCTAGCAGTCAATGAGATCATCACAGCATCTAGTAGTCAATGAGATCATCACAGGCATCTAGCAGCCAATGAGATCATCACATGCATCTAGCAGTCAAAAGTGATCATCACAGGCATCTTGCAGTCAATGAGATCCAGGCATCTAGCAGTCAATGAGATCATCACAGGCATCTAGCAGTCAATGAGATCATCACAGGCATCTAGCAGTCAACGAGATCATCACAGGCATCTAGCAGTCAACGAGATCATCACAGGCATCTAGCAGTCAATGAGATCATCACAGGCATCTAGCAGTCAATGAGATCATCACAGGCATCTAGCAGTCAACGAGATCATCACAGGCATCTAGCAGTCAATGAGATCATCACAGGCATTCTAGCAGTCAATGAGATCATCACAGGCATCTAGCAGTCAATGAGATCATCAACAGGCATCTAGTAGTCAATGAGATCATCACAGGCATCTAGCAGCCAATGAGATCATCACATGCATCTAGCAGTCAAAGTGATCATCACAGGCATCTCGCAGTCAATGAGATCCAGGCATCTAGCAGTCAATGAGATCATCACAGGCATCTAGCAGTCAATGATATTATCACATGCATCTAGCAGTCAATGAGATCATCACAGGCATCTAGCAGTCAATGAGATCATCACAGGCATCTAGCAGTCAATGATATTATCACAGCATCTAGCAGTCAATGCGATCATCACAGCATCTAGCAGTCAATGAGATTATCACAGGCATCTAGCAGTCAATGAGATTATCACAGGCATCTAGCAGTCAATGATATTATCACAGGCATCTAGCAGTCAATGAGATCATCACAGGCATCTAGCAGTCAATGATATTATCATAGTCATCTAGCAGTCAATGAGATCATCACAGGCATCTAGCAGTCAATGAGATCATCACAGGCATCTAGCAGTCAATGAGATCATCACAGGCATCTAGCAGTCAATGATATTATCACAGGCATCTAGCAGTCAATGAGATCATCACAGGCATCTAGCAGTCAATGAGATCATCACAGGCATCTAGCAGTCAATGATATTATCACAGGCATCTAGCAGTCAATGAGATCATCACAGGCATCTAGCAGTCAATGAGATCATCACAGGCATCTAGCAGTCAATGATATTATCATAGGCATCTAGCAGTCAATGAGATCATCACATGCATCTAGCAGGCAATGAGATCATCACAGGCATCTAGCAGTCAAAATTTATATACATTATTTAATTCAGATTTATTATCCCCCGCCGAAAATTTTCGGCGGAGGATATAGAAATAGTCTCCGTCCGTCCGTCCGACCTTCCGTCCGTCCGTCCTTCCGTCCGACATTTTTGTCCGGAGCATATCTCTAAAAGTATTTGAGTTATCAACTTGAAACTTCATAGGTGGATAGACCTCATTGAGGAGGAGTGCAGTGCACAAGAATGATAACTCTACCTTGCATGATTTTTGAGTTATTGTCCTTTGTTATTTTTCAAAATTGATTTTTGTCCAGAGCATAACTCCAAAAGCCTATGAGATATTAACATGAAACTTCATAGGTGCATAGATCTCACTCAGGAGGTGTGCAGTGCACATAAATGATAACTCTACCTTTCATAATTTTTGAGTTATTACCCTTTGTTATTTTTCATACCTAATTTTTTACCTGAGTGGAGCATTACTCAAAAAGTGTTTGAGATATCAACATGAAATGTCATAGGTGGATAGATCTTATTGAGGAGGAATGTTGTGCGCAAGAATGATAACTCTTTCCTATACAATTTTGAGTTATTGCCCTTTGTTTTTTTTTCCATGCTATTTTGTCCAGAGCTTATCTCAAAAAGTTTTGAGGGTATCAACTTGAAACTTCAAAGGTGGATGGATCTCATTGAGGAGGAGTGCAGTGCTTAAGAATGATAACTCTACCCTGCATTATTTTTGAGTTATTGCCCTTTATTATTTTTCAAAATTAATTTTTCCCAGAGCATAACACAAAAAGCCTTTGAGATATCAAAATGAAACTTCATAGGTGCATAGATCTCACTCAGAGGTGTGCACTGCACAAGAATGATAACTCTACCTTTCATAATTTTTGATTTATTGCCTTTTGTTATTTTTTCATACTTGATATTTCAATTCAATTTTGTTCTCAAAAAGTATTTGAGGTATCAACTTGAAACTTCATAGGTGGATAGATTTTACTGAGAGGGGATGCAGCACACAAGAATGATAACCTACCCTGCATTATTTTTAAGTTATTGCCCTTTGTTATTCAGCCATCAGTATTCACATAGGTTTTCAAATCTGTAATCACTATAGCCATCAGTTTTCATTACCAAAAGACCTCTTTAAATGAAATTATTCTGTTCTACTACATATACATTCTTCCAATGAGCAAACACATTCGGCAGGGGATGGCCATGTTGACATGGCTCTTGTTATCTGTAAAATCACATTAATCATATTAATCATATTTAAATCAAACTGGAAAACTTGTAAACGTTAAACTAACAGTGAGAATATATCATTGGAAAACATGTTTTTTTCTATAATTACATCATCATTGTGTATATACTTTTGCTTTCAACCAATTACTTTTCAATTATCCAAATCACAGTTCTATAACTAACTGTAAATATTAAGTTGACTTTTTTTAAAAAGAAATTGTGATGATTTGCCAATCTATTCGTCGCACATATGCAAAGACGGGGGTAAATAATCTTTAAATATTTTCTTATTTGATTGATTATATTGTCTAGCCAGGACATTAAATACGTTCTGTTGATAGACAAAATGGACATAAAGGTTCTAATATATTCTGAATATAGTCAACGCCACGATAAATTAGTTATCTCTTTTCAGTATCCTTGATATAATTATTAAATAATGCATATAAAAGCGCTTGTTTTGAAATCCTTATAACATCGTGGGCATTTTTATTTTGTTGAGTCATGTAATAAATTTAATTGATCATTTATTAATCAATAAATCGACACAATGGAAACTATAAGTGGACACCAAAAATATAAAAAAGCATTTGAGAAATTAAAATTAAAAGCATTTTGGGGGAATAGTGGGCCTAAAATGCCAATTAAACATGGCGCTAATGGACGTTGTTTTTTAGCCGACATTTTTTTCCGTTCTTCTTTGACCTAAACAACGTATTTGCACCCCATAAGCAACATATTTCTCCACAAGTACAAGTATGTACGGAATAAAACCCATAATGTCACTTGACATACTTGAAGTACGTTGATACACACAAGTAATTTTATCATATTCCCTATAGTTGTCTAGATATTGAATTATGCACATGGTTAAATAGCAAAGACTTCAAAAACCCAAAACGATGTCAGGTAAATTACTTGTCCGTTGAATACTTCACAATGTATTATCATACTTTTCATGAGCAAAGCATTTATTAATTATTATCATTATTCA